ATAAAAAGGTTGATTTGCTTGTTAAACTGGTTGCAGCCCTCCCCCTCCCCCACAGGGACGCACGCGGAGTACATGATCCACAAAGCCTTCATCATACCTTGGAGCTGCTCTCCGAGGATGAGGAGCTCGCCTCTTCTGGCGTCTTCAGACGGAGCGTCCCGACAGGAGACTCTGCGCGCGAGGAGGAGGAGGAGGGACAGACTGGATCCATGTCAGCCTTGTTTTGATACATCACACAGCCAGGTGGTGGTGAGGATGTAATTATAAAACATACATGTCAGTCATAAGTCCTGGTGGAAAAAACAAACCCGACTGTGGCCCTCCGCTGGGCGGACAGAGAAGCTCGTTTCTCCAGGTGTATACCTGGTGACTGGACGACTAGAATGTAAGCCCCTCCTTTAAGGCTCTGCTAGAATTTTATGAATGAACCAAGACTGTACCATCTGGGAAGGGTTGGGGGGGGGGGGGGTCAGGCTGACGTCCAACCAGACCTGTTTTCAACACTTAAATTAACAATAAACATAAACAACGCATTATTATTACCTTATCATCAAACTGCTGTCATTTTAATTCATAAATGTTTCAGGGATTATGAGGAAACGATAAACCTGAGCTTATTTATAAACCCACATATGTAATAATTAAGTGGACCTAATGTATTTATTAATTTAATCTAGCATAACACAATAAAACGTGCTCACAAGCTGATTTTACCACGGTTTTCTTAGAATAACATGTTGATTCGGTAGATCACTGTTTTAGACACAGGAATAAGAAAACAAGAGGGTTGTAGTTGATAAAATAATCATATTAAAGTGTTTACAGAAGATCAGGCTGTAGGAACAGATCCACCCTACCAATCCTATACTGACCCTAACCACCAATCACAGCAAAGCATCCCCCCCTCATTTTTTCGGCCCAATCTAGCGAAGACCACGGATTTATGGGGGAGGTGAAGTCACGTGGCATGACCCGGAAGTGTGGAGAATGAGGAGGAGGAGAGAAGCAGCAGCATCCTTCATTCCCATAACAAGAGCTGCGTTCTGGGCTGTGCTACTAGGGGGGAAAAAAGACATTTCAAGGACATTTCTACTGTGAAACACTAACAGAAATTTGCTGTTAAAGATGGAAAGAAACTTAAAAATACAACAAATTTAAAACCAGGGTAAATGTATTAGAATGCAGTGCATAAGGTTTAATTTTATGACATTAAATTAAAATCTTGCTACAACTCAGTGCTGATGATAACTATTAACCCAATAGAGCAAAGACAAATTCCAATATTACCATAATCACAATAGACACATTTTGTAAAGTTCAGTTTAGTTTATTAATTTCTTT